GGGGGGGGGAGGCAGCAATTTTAAGAACAGTTGGACCAAATCAATTAGATTTCAAGTGCTCCACCTTCAGGGGCCTTGGTTAACATCACTTATCTTAGCCCCCTTGCTTGAGGCACCTGTTTTACTCATTATTTCATCTCTGCAAGCACCCCCAAAACAGTACCACTTGTTTGTTCTTGTGTTCCTGCTGTAGTCTGGACAAGAGAGGTTAACAAGTAGTGTCCCCTTGATGGCCCTGGGTTGCGCTCTGTCAGGTCTAGAAACAGACAACTCTTCTGGAGTGAGTCAGAAGCTGGGAACGGAGAATCAGGACTAAAGAGCATGTTGTAGGAAACCAGAATGCCAGACCAGGAAAAATGACTAAAATATGGTCCATGGCGCCTGGCACTGTATTGAGCAGGTACAGGGATGTGTCTCATCACATGGGGCAATGGTCAGTGACTCCTGACACACTCTAGCCCTAAGTGCACACTCATTTATTCTTACTTCTATTGTTTGTTTTAAGCATCAGCCAACAAGACCCTAGGGCAGGCTTACATATAGCCAATGACAATACTAAAAGACCAGACAAAAGGTGGTAATGATGGCACCTGCCACTACTTCTAGTGGGGGGGGGGGTTTACAGGTCACCTTATATCTGTTGCAGTCCTTATTTAATAATTTCTCCCTTGACCTTTCAGAACAGAATATTAAAGTCAGTGTGTACGTATATGTATGAGAAACAGTCCCTTTTGGGGAAAGAAAGAAGCCTCTACTTTCTCATTTTTATGCAAACGCAGCAGGGGGTGTCTGCAGGTTACTTGGCTATTATAAAAGGGATCACGACTCGGAAAAAGGTTGGAACTACTGCTCTAGTTGAATCATCCCTAGCACTATGATTTTTTTTAATGTTGCTATTCTGTCTTTTCTGGAGCTACTGCTCTCGTTGAATCATCCCCAGCACTATGATTTTTTTAAAATGTTGCTATTCTGTCTTTTCTTCTTGAAGATGTGTGAGTGTAGGGTAAAGAAGGAAGAAGCAATGGAAGGTTTATAAATGGAAGATGACAACATCTCCCCACCCTTAAAATGAAGTGAATGAGGCAGGGCAATTAAAATAAAAACCTCATCAAGAAGCATGAAGTGTATGTGACTCCATTAACCCAAACAGAAGCTTTTGCTTGCGGTACCTGCCAACTGAAGGAAACCCCCAGGGAATACATTTCTATTTCCTGCAAACATTAGCACAGCAAGACACAATTTCTCATACATGCAATGCCCATTGAACAATTCTGCTCAAAATGCATGTTGAGCTCCTTCAGAGAACTTCGCTCCATACAAGTGAAAATGAGTTCATTAAAGAATTCTATAGCTCGTAGTCACCTGAGCAGTGTTCTGTTGCTGCTCAGCTGATTCAGACCACACCTGCGCTGTCTCCTCTTTCAAGTCCATGTCATCTCTGCTGTGGGGCTCCACGGTACACTAGCTAATTATCGGAAGTGCGCTTGTCTGAACAGATTCATCTGTCTGCTGCCTCTTGAGACGACGTAGTCTTCTGTACCATGGCTACAGAGAAAGACAGAAGGAGTAGGAGATGAGATATCAAAGTACTGAATATATTGCAGTACCTGTGGCATTTGACACCAAAATGAATAAAAATGTAGTCCCTAGAGGGACTATGCAGAAAAATTCCCATTTTCCATGGAATCCATTGATTCCATGGAATTGAGTACTGCAGGATCTAGGTGGCAAAATGGACCACAACGGGACACTGATATCAGTCACCAAGAAGAGGAGGCAGGCTTAGTCATCACTGCAATGATGATGTCCCCAATGAAATCCCAAGATTTCTGAAATACATAGGCTGTTCCCTACACTCAGCCATCAAAAATTATGACGACAGACATCTTATCATTATCCTGTCAAAAATGAAAGTCACCATTTGCATTGTGGTGATCAAGCTTTGGTTGCTTTCAACAAAAATGCTATGACATTTCTTAATTTTCATATACTTTGCAAGAAATAGTATACAATCTATACTCAGCATTCTGTCATCCAGCAAATGAAAAAGTGCGGCTATGCCAGCTGGGGGATTCTGGGAATTGTAGTGCTACCCAGAAAATCTTTTTCAAAGTTCTCTGTCTCCATATTCTTAGATATATCAAACTACCATCTTCTTCAGAAGGAAAACCATAGCGCTGTTTGTATACAGCAACTCCAGCAACTGGTGGCTGATTATGAACATCCTGAAGATGATCACTGACAAGGAAAGGTAAATGCAGGCACAAGCAGACCTTGTGAAAGACAGAAAGAAATTGATGGCATGACAAATGGAAGTGTGTCATGTTCTGTACCACTCAGAAAACATAATTCCATATATTAAAAAGCATAAAAACATTTGGACAGAACAGAGATATTAGAACTGGCTGGGACCCTTGACTAAAGAAACTACCGTATATAACTTTTGCACCCCCTGTTCTAAACAGCTATCTAGCTGTAACAACACACACAACTGTTTACAAAAAGATCTTTCCTTCTTTGTAAATCGTTTTGCAGACCAAACTGAAATTCAAGCTTAGAAAAAAAAAATCAGAATTGCATAGAAATTCTGGATGCAGCATATGTATTTCTGCTCGCCAGGAGAGGGTGCTCATGGCAATCAAGTTCCTCCGAGCTCATTTGTAAGCAGGAAACAACTGGTGGAACAATATACAAAAATAAGCTATCCAGTGCTACTGGCCAATTTAACCAAAACAATCCTATTTTGAAAGCTTTTACATGAATTATTCTATAAAATATTTCACCTCCATACACTGCTATGGGAAGCTATGTGGATCACTCATCTCTGAATAATCTGCTTATGTGTCTGCTCATCAGACAGCTTCCAAAAATTATTTCCAAGAAATGTTATATCAGAACTGGTCTGGTGACACCCCCGCCCCAACCTGTCAGTCCTTAACTGCCTTGTTCTACTTTTCTAGTTCAACATTTAGTGAGTCCCTTAATAAGGGCTCTTCTCCTTGATCCCATATACGTATACAGTCCTTCCTGACAGTTACAATGCTGAGAAAACAACGAATTAAAAATCAAGCTTAAAACTCCCATTTAAGCTTGGAAATCTTGACAGATTACTTCCCTGTACGGCTTTATCTACCCCTTGTGGCTTCAACCCAGCGTCTCAATCTGCCACTGGGCATCTCTGAAGTGTAATTTACAGCTTTGCTGATTGGTTCAGACAGTCATTCAGCACCTTCCTATTCCTTCGTCTCCAGTGTCATTATTAAATCACAGACTTAGGAATTAGTGGAAGGCTGAGACCATTTGATTTTCGGCAGTCCAATTAACTTTATTTTATACTGACTGGCTAAGCTGATCTAATCGTTTGTAACCTCTGCCAATGCTCAAGAAAGTAAGTGAGCAAGCAAACGGCTCCTTGCTGACTCCTCCACCCATTTGAATTTTAAATGCAGATTATTTTTAGACATAATTTATGCCCACATAATGGTATTTGGTTTTTAAATCAAAGAGGGTGAGCAATAACAAGAACTGAGCCTGCTATTCATCTTGCTAGCCTTATAGAAGTCCTGTAGGCTCTTGAGCTGGTACTTTTTTTTTTAACACAGGACTCAAATCAATAATGTAGGAAAGGCAAACAATAAAGTCTCTCTGCAGAACGGCAGAAAAATCAACAGTGTATCTCTTTCTGAAAACAAGACAATACTAATTTCTCTATATTACTGGACTACATATAATGCAACAATGCTAGGCATCACCTCCCTTGGCACAGTAAACAGACCCCAGCCTGGCAAACCAATATTCTCTCTAATAAGAAATGCAGCAGAGCTAGGGCGCTCTGTGATTTGTATTTGAAGGGAACGGTGGCATTGGCGAACAAGAATCATCCATTATGATTTATGACACTGGCACGATGCTGGAATGAAGTTATGGGCACTCCCTTGAAACAAGGAACATCTTGAAAGTCTACACACATCACAAGCGAACGCAACGATACTGACATCAGCATGCCAAGTGGTGTGCATTCACAGAACTACTCTAACCAAGTCCGAGAGCTTCTGTGTTGCCTGTTGGAACTTTATTTTTCATCCTTGACCAAAGCACCCCATGTTGCATCACAGACTCACTCTTCAAAAACCCCTTGAAACACAGATGCTGTTTTCATATACATTAAAGAATACAGAGAAGCAGCTCCTATTGGTACACCCTTGAAACACAGATGCTGTTTTCATATACTGTACATTAAAGAATGCAGAGAAGCAGCTCCTATTGGTACATGTTGTGCGTTTCTTTGAAACTTAGTGTACAAGGTATGAAAAACCAGATGGTGAAGCAGACAGAGATTCAGTATTGTTCAATCAAACATTCTAGTTTATGCAGGAGTACAGCTGGGGTTTCAGATGAATGCAGCAAGCTGAGAGCTGAGCGCAGCCTACCCAACAGAGCATTTGAATTACCAATGCCCTTTTAGGGACATCCACAGGATACTCAGATCTTAAACTGAGCAACTCAAGCAACCAAGTTCACAATACACTTTTATTTCATGCCCCATGACTGTGATGTATGGATCGATGAAAGTACTGTACTACACCTACACTCATAGAGCTAAGATGGAGTTGGGTTGTCTGTGATCTCATGTGCCTTGCTTCCATACTTCTCCAACTACCTCTTAGATTTTCATGTGTCACAAAAGACTGCATAGGAGGTGGGTTCCGTTTGCCAGAGTCCTCACTCATGAGACCTCTTCAAGCATATTCAGCCGAATCCACCTAAAAGCTCCTATATATGTTTCCATACTCAATGTGCAGGAGATGGTGCTTGCACGCTTCCAACTGTGCTGCCCCACTTTAGCCCCTATAATCTGTGGTACAAGCAAATGCTTCGACAGAGTTAGGCTGCCCAGGAGATTCTGAGTAGTAGTTCCTTCCACAATTTTTCCATGTTATGTAACTGAGCAAAACATTATGAGATGGAAATATAATCAAAATGAAATAAAAGTATTCAGATTGCTATATGCATTTCTGTCAGCATATAGTTTATACAGTCTTCACAAAGAATGTGGCCATTTTTCCTTACACAACATTCTGATCATGATCATTACCACTATTATTTCATTAAAAATCGGGTCTTTGGCCATTGCAGATTTTAGGGGAAATGGCATTTAAAAAAAAAAGAAACTAAAGATATTTTACGGATTGATGTAAAATTGCTTTCCTTACTGACATGGCCGATTACAGGAGCTATGCTAATGAAGCTAAGTCTATACAGAGCGTGCAGGGAAATAGAACAGATTATTGAGAGGGATTAGCAATAAAACTGTTTCATAAGAAGCTAAAATACCCTAGCATCACATGAGAAGATTTTATATCCTCAGGTTTCTCAGTGTTTTAAGCATCTGCCTCTTCATCCAGTCAGCAGATATAGTAATGAAACATTTGTTCTCTCCCTGCCCTGGCCTTGTCTCCAACGTTTGTGCTTCTTTCCCTTTCTTTATTTTCATACAGTACGCAGGCACTTGACAGCTACACTGCAAAACATGGAACGCCAACAGCAGTAGGCCAGTGACAGCTTGTGTTGTGTCAGAAGCAGCGCAGGCCTGCTTGCTGCAGTACGAGGCCAGGTACCGCCATCAGCCAATCCCTTGCACGTCTGCAGCATCCCGGAGGACAGCATCCTACAGCAAGGTAGCAGCATGGGTGTGAAGAGAGCAAGAGACTATGTCAGCACGGAGAGAGGCTTTGCCATGAAGAGCAGCTGCAACGAATGCCAGGCGAGTGACAGAACAACACAAATGCCTGGTGTCAACATCCCTGAGCAGAAAATCAATGTCACTGTTTGACAGAAGGCGCTGAAAGTCAGACACTAAGACACAAGAGGAAGCCCACTCATTTCTTATAATAATCTTAGAACTGCAGAGCTGGAAAGGACCCTATGGATCATCAAGTCTAGCATCACTGTCAAGGAGCCACAGTGGAGAATCGAACTCCCAACCTCTGGCTCCACAGCTTGATGCCTAAACCACTGACCTACCTTGTTTTAAATTCACTGCAATGCTACCTTGGGAACATTCTTGACATATCATCCTGTCCTTAATTGCACCAGTATCACAGTTTTCCAATAATGAAAGCAGGGTCATATTTTGGACGTCAGCATAAGAGGCAGGTGAACCTGAGAGGTCACACAGAGTTGCCAATTCGACAACATGGGATTCCCTGAGCTCTCAAGCCAAAAACTAGATTGGGGTGCAACCCTGTGATATGATAGGGCAAGGAAAGATCGGAGGGAGGACAGGAATTGCTTTTGAGCAGCTGATTGTAAAAACAGGTTCAAAAGCAATTCAGGGAAATGGCTCAGGAGCCATATAAAATGAGACTGATTTTTATGCTTCTACTGGAGCTTGCAGAAAGTTTAGTGCAGGCCTAATGCGAGGGGAGTTCCTCCTCCCAGGTCTTGGTCCCCAGCTGCCAGGCTCATGCAAAAAAAGCCCTGCAAGTCGTAACACTGGCACCCCATTCCCTCCTTTGCACCAAATGGGCCAAGGGACCCGAGCA